CCCAGCACTGAGTGTGTCTGACCAGACACCAGAACTAAGCTAAAAGCATTAGCAGGATTCATTCCAGGATTTCCAGAGCCAAGAGAACACAAGGCAAAGCAAACTCTGCCACCAGAGGGACAGGGAAAGAGATGTAAGAAGGACTGTACGTGTGTATCCCCTACAAAAACTCCTGCCTTGGAAATGCAAGTTGAAAAGACCACCTGCAGCTTCCCACTCGCCAGCCCAGGGAATGCTGTGCTCCCAGAGGCCCTGGGAGCTCGAGGAGGCTGGGGGGCAGCGGAGAGGGGCTGTACCTGTGGCGTGGGCTCCACGGATGTCTGCAGCACGGCTGGCTGTGAGTGGCCCGAGGGCGGCGCTGCCGGCGTCGTCCGCGCTGCATTCGTCTGCAGAGACAAAAACAGCAGGGGAAACACAACGGGCTCTTGGTGAATTGGTTAAAGCACAAACCTCGCCTTCCTGCCCTCCTTCTCCCACCTGGCTCACGGCAGCAGCCAGGGAATAAGGATGAGGCTCTGCCAGCCATCCCTCAGTGGCAGGGCCAGGGCAGCTCGGCTCAGCTCCCAGCCAGGTGCCGGGGTCAGCTGTCACTTGTCCCTGCCCCAGCACGGGAAAAGGTGCTTCTGGGCAGGCCTGCCCTGCCACAAACCATCCTCCCCTTCACACTTCTGTTTCATTTGGGGCTTCCCTGCGAGCCAGCAGCCAGCTGGAGAGGAGCTGTTCCATGCCAGTGGAGAGCTCCAGCTGGGAGCTCATTACTGCTCCAGTGCAGGAGCAATTTCCCTCTCCTGCATGCCACGAGCCACATACATGGGGAAATCAGCTGTGAACTCCTCTTTCTTTAAGCTGCACCTATCAAGGGACCTTCTACACTACTAAAAGCACCACCAGGTACACAAAGCACAAGGACACGAGGCACGTACCCGCTGGGAGCTCTCAGAAAAGGGGTTGAATTCATCCAAGCCACTTTGGCTGGTGTTTGTGAGCTGTGTCACCGAGGGGTCCTGCAGGGAGAGAGCACAAGGAGAAATCAGCACTGGATGTGGGGCATCACCACTGATAGCACTGAACTGTTTCATTTGGAAAAGGCCTTAAAGAACAGCAGGTCCATCTTATCCATGCTGCCTGCTTTCCATCTGCTTGTTAGCTGGGAATTTCAGGGGGTGAAACACATCCTTGCCACAGGGCGATGGCCCTGGCTGGCATGGAATTTAAATATCCAAGGAGATGACTACCAGCAAGGCAAGACTTGTCAGCAGAAATAATCACCTGTTCAGCCTAGAGGGATGTCTGAACAACCACCACAATGTGCTTTTGGCACAGGAATACTTTGTGCAGGTTACTTCTGCTCACCTACAGTGAGTTATTCCAAATTTCCAGGGATTCGGATTCATCCACCCATGGTCAGGATGTTGCTGGGCCACACAAAGCAAGCATGGAGCCACACAAAATGAGGTTTTAGATACAGCTGAGAGATGCTGGCAAGCTAAAATGCCAAAGACTGCTCAGGATAAGTGAAACACTCAGGAAAATTGAGCTGGAGGTGTGACACCAATTATTTTAGGAGGTTTTAATGCTGCTGGCATAACAGCTCTCACTTCCACTCACAGCACCTCCCACTCGTCTTTCAAACATCCTCTGATGTTTAAAAACAGGCTCTCTGCACCTCAGAACACCTCTCTCCCCTCACCTGCAGGGTTTTTATGCAGCTGTTTTTATCTCCTTTTTTCCACCTACTCCTCTGCACGCAGAGATTCCTCTTGGGCAGCCAGGTGCTGCCCTCTGGAGCACTCCTCTCCCCAGTTATCCCAGAAACAAGGCTCTTTTTGAACTCGGAAATCCTCCTGGCCTGCCAACCCAAGAGCTGGGCGTGGGTCAGAAAATTAAAAAGTGGCTTTTCCTCCTTCCCTCAGCACCTCGTGTGTCCAGAGCAGCCCTTCCAATCTGGTGCTGCATGGGGTGAGAAGGAACCGGGGCCGCCCCGGGGTGCGCGGGGCTGACGGAGCTGAGGCAAGGAGGAAAATCCCTCTGGAGCCATTCCCGGGGCTCTAGCGCAGCCTTCTGCTGAGCAGGATCCACAGGGAGCAGTTAATGAGTAACTGCACAGCTCCTGCACGGCAGGCACTCCCCACCAACAGGTCTCACTCGTTTGTGAATCACCCCGGGCTGAGGCACGGCGCGTTCTCCGGTGCTGCTCGGGGAAGTTCAACTCCTCGGTGAGGAAGGGCTGAAAAAAGTGGGGAGAAGCAGCAGGACTGCCATGCTGGAGATAAAAAGTGCTTTTATTTCACTCCTGACTCCTCTGGAAGCTTCAGCTGTGCAGAGATAAGGGCTGTCAGCACAAGTTTACACTTCCCCTCAGGCAGGACAGCGCTGCCCATCAGCACAAACCCTTTAGTCCGGAGCACACCAGCCCCAGCTGGACTAAAGTCCAGCAGAAAACAACTGCACAAGGAAGAGAAACTCCCTTCAAGGTGTGGGAAGTGGAAAGTGAAAGCTGCATAACCCTCTGGAGAGCATGGGTGGGAATAAGGAAAAATGCTACAGTACCACCGTAAAACACACGTTTTACTTCCCTTGGCTCATCTGCACCCAAAAGAAAGCTGGAGGCTCTCCAAGGGCAGGGAGAGCAGCACCACAGCTTCAGCTGCACCACAGTTTCATTCCCAAGGTAGACAAGCTCTCACCTGACTGCCCAGCTTTAAAAAAACCCCACTTAATTAGGCTGCAAGGCCAAGGCCCAGCAGCTGGGCTGGACTTGCCTGCTATTGTGCAAGCCTGTCTAAAATAGGAACCCAAAGAGCAGGGAATTTGCAACAAAGCTGAAGTGTTTGGACACACGCCTGGGGAGGGCAGGAAGGAAAGCAGAGGGTGATGCACGGGCAGCAGCTTCTGTGAGCCTGGAGCAGCAGGGAGGGATGAGCGAGCACCAGGAATGCAGAGATCAGCGAGGAGCTGCCCACAAACTTCATGTTTTACAGCTATTTTCTGCCAGCCTGGCAGCAAAAGGCAGCTGACCCTCTCGAAACAAGCCTTAGAAAGGATCAGGAGACAGGGGTTTAATTCAGAACCTCTTGGAGCCACCACGAGGGTGTCCAGCCACAAAGCTCGTGCTCACAGATCAATAACTGGCCCGACCTGCAGGGTGCCATGAGCAGACCCATTTGCTGCCCTCCCAACCACCACTTCCTCAAGTGCCAGGGATGTGTGATGCTGTTTTTCACGGCTTCAGATGCCCCCAGCACGGAACAACTGCACATCTGGACCAAGCTGCACTGCCAGGAACATTAAAAGTGATTTCAAATGCAGCTTTAATGCAAATATGAAGTTGCTGTCAAGCTGTGGAAAGGTTTGGATACAACAGGTTTGTGCAAGGAATTCTGTATTTTCTTTTCTTTCTGTTCCCACAGATTAAAGAAACAAAATGAGAGGCCTCTCTAGATGAGATCAAGGAAAAAGAGCTCAACCTAGAATCACCTGGAACTTAACACAGTTGTCAAATTATCACAGTATTGCCCCAGATATAACCAGTCCTGCAGACTGAGGGTGCTGCCACTGCCTGGAAGATGCACTGAGAGGAATCTTGAGGATTTCATTATTGATATCTCTGGAAAGGATGGAAGTTTCCAGCTCTGTCTGAAGCTGGAATCAAGGTTTTGGGGGCAGCTGCCACTTCCAGCAGGTTACTAGATAAAGGAAGGAAGTTAATCATCTCTCATTAACTGGTTACAATAAGTAACAGAGCAGCCAGAGATATTTTTAACGGGACCAAAGCAGCTTATTTTGCACAAAGCTGAAAGAACATCATGAACAAAGTCTCCTGAAAAGGCAGAAACCCTGGTCACATCAGGATTTGAGGAGGATGAAGCGCTGAACTGGGAGCTCCAGCAAGGAGGGACAGCCCTGGAGCTGTGGCAGGAGAGATCCACGGGCTGGGAGGAGAGGAGGCTTCTGCTGCTCCAGAGCATGGCAGGGGTGTCAGTGGGACACTGTCACCCCAGCACAGAGCCAACACCTGCATCCAGCCCCCGGCAGGGAACAGGCTGTCCCACAGGCTGGATTCCATTTCAAACCCAGCCAACGAGGCTCCAGGAAGCAGCAGCCAAAAATTCCTCTCAACCAGCTGCTGGGGACTGGGGAATTTTCTTGAAGAAAAAAAAGGTAAGACAAAAACTTGCAGCCCCGAGAGGAGGGTACAGAATCTTCCACAAGGATCAGATGAGCTGCAAAGAGCTGTCACAGGGGAATCCATGGTGGCACATGTGTTGATCCTTGTTAAGTGAGCCTGACAGGGGAGTTACTGACTGGAAATCACCTTCAAACATTTTTTGTTTGAACAGTGAATAAAGAGTGAGCACGGCCCTGTTCTGCCAGATACCAGGACAGCTTTAATGTGCACAAAGCAGCTGAAGGGAGCTGACAAGAAAGATGGAGATGGACTTTTTATAAGGGCCCAAAGTGACAGGACAACAGAGAATGGCTTCAATCTGACAGAGATAAGATTGGATATTATGAGATTCTTCCCTGTGAGCGTGGGCAGGCCCTGGCACGGGGTGCCCAGAGCAGCTGTGGCTGTCCCTGCTTCCCCGGCAGTGTCCCAGGCCAGGCTGGATGGGGCTTGGAGCAGCCTGGGACAGTGGAATTGTCCCTGCCCATGGCAGGGGCTGGGACTGGATGAGCTTTAATTTCCCTTCTAACCCAAACCACTCGGTGATTCTAGGAATATTTACTTCCTCAACGCCAAAGCAACAAATCCCATGTCTATGAACAGCAATATATTCCACATATAACATCAGAGGAACACGATCGTCCCAACTCTTCCCATTCCTGAGAGTCGGGAGACTGTGATAAAATGAAAGTGAGGAAGAAGAGAAGGACTTTTTTCACTCTGATTCCTCAAAAGACTCAGCTTCATCAACAAACAACTCCTGTTTGGCTCAGCCCTGCAATCCAAGGTCAGGAGAACACTCCTTCCCGCGGCTCCCACGGCAGGCAGGCAGCGGAGGGGAGGCTGAGCTGCAAGGGGAGCCAAAGGCCAGACCCTGACTGTCACACCACTGCCCAGGGGCTGGGCCAGGCCAGCTCCCTGCATGACCCAACTGCCAGAGGTTAATCCCGGAGAGGAGAAACCAGCGAACACACTCCAAGCCCTCAGTGACCTTAACAGCATTCCTCTGCTCCGAGCCACGAAACCCTCAGCGGGAACTCACTTTTAGGCACCGAAACGCCTTAAAAACAAACGCAGGGAGACGCAGCGGCCAGGCAGCCCAGCGCGCAGCACGGCCGGGAGGGCTCCGCGATGGATTGCCTGGAGTGAGCCCTCAGGGCCGGCACTCCCAGCGGGGCGGGAGAGCCCCGCCGAGGTGAGGAGCAGCCCGCTGCGGGGCCGCAGCGCTCGGGGGGAGCTGCGGCAGGGGCTGGGGGCCGCGGGGGGCTCGGGAAGGGCATGCAGCCCGCGCCCACCTGGAAGGGGTTGATGTCCACCGGGTCGGCGAACGGGTTGGTGTCGAAGCCCGACATGGGCGCGGTCCGCTCCTGCTCCGCTCCCGCCGCCGCCGCCGCTGGCGCTTCCGGGGGCACCCGCGTGACCGGGAGCCGCGTGACGTCACGGCGGCGCGCACAGCTCGCGCGGGGTTAACCCGGTGGGCGTGGCCGCGTGACGTCACGGCGGCGCTTATAGCCGGCGGGGGGGGGGCGGGACCCCCCACCGGGACCCCCCGGGCGACGGGCCGGGGACCCCGCCACTCGTGCCCCCAGCCCGAGCACCCCCCGGTCGCCGTGTGATGGTTGAAAAATTCCCCGCAGACAGTGTCCCCTCCCCGGGCCGTGGTCCCCTCCCTCGCTGGCGCGCTGTCACCCTGCCCCGGGGGCTCTCTGGGTTTTTGGGGGGTTCTTCGTGTGCCCCGCTAACAGCTGCCTTGCCGCCCGCAGTGTTCCCCCTCTCCTGCGCCGTGCAGAACTATTCCTGGGGGAAGGTGGGCCTGGAGAGCGAGGTGGCCAAGCTGGTGGCCAGTGGTGACCCCCTGGTCCAGATCCAGCCTGACCAGCCCTACGCCGAGGTGAGTGTGTCTGTGTGTCCCTTCTGTCCCATCCGTGTGTCCGTCCCACCCTGCGCTGTGGCTCCCACCACCCCGTGTCCTGCCAGGACGTGATGCTGACCCTGAGGTGTCCCCGGGGGGGTGCCTGCCTTGGAGGGAAGCCCGGCATGACTCAGCCCCCGAGGGAGCTGCGGGATCTCCTCCGGGGCCAGGCAGCCTCTGGGAAAGCCCGGCTCGGGGTGCCAGCCGTGTGTCGGTGTCCCGCAGCTGTGGATGGGCACACACCCCCGGGGCGACGCCCTCATCCGGGATAACCGCATCCCCCAAAAGACCCTGGGCCAGTGGATCGCCGACAACCCCGCCTGCCTGGGGGCCAAGGTGAAGGACGCCTTCCAGGGACAGCTGCCCTTCCTGTTCAAGGTGCTCTCGGTCAACACCGCCCTGTCCGTCCAGGCGCACCCCAGCAAGGTAGGGAGAGCCCGGCGCGGGCAGCCCAGGCGGGCCCCGTGTCCCTGGGGAGGTCAGCAGCTCCTTCTCCCTCCCGCAGGAGCTGGCGGAGAAGCTCCACGCCCAGTTCCCTGAGCACTATCCCGATGCCAACCACAAGCCCGAGATGGCCATCGCCCTCACCCCCTTCGAGGGCATGTGTGGCTTCCGGCCCGTGGAGGAGATTGTCTCCTTCCTCCAGAGTAAGGATGGAGGAGGGCACACGGTCAGACCCTGGCGTGGGGACAGTGGCCCTGCTCCCTTGGGATGGGCTTTGGGGTGGGGATGGTGGCCATGCTCCCTTGGAGTGGAGTTTGGAATGGGGATGGTGGCCCTGCTCCCTTTGGGATGAGGATGGTGGCCATGCTCCCTTGGGATGGGCTTTGGGGAGGGGATGGTGGCCCTGCTCCCTTGGGATGGGCTTTGGGGAGGGGATGGTGGCCCTGCTCCCTTGGGATGGAGTTTGGGGTGGGGATGGTGGCCATGCTCCCTTGGGATGGAGTTTGGGATGGGGATGGTGCTCTCTTGGGATGGAGCTCAGGGTGGGGATGGTGGTCTTGCTCCCTTGGGTTAGGGTTTAGGATGTGAGTGGGGGCTGTGGTCCCTTGGGATGGAGTTTGGAGTGGGGATGGTGGCCATGCTCTCCTGGGATGGAGCTCAGGGTGGGGATGGTGGCCATGCTCCCTTGGGTTAGGATTTGGGGTGGGGATGGTGGCCATGCTCCCTTGGGATGGGCTTTGGGGTGGGGATGGTGGCCATGCTCCCTTGGGTTAGGATTTGGGGTGTGGATGGGGGCTGTGATCCCTTGGGGTGCAGTTTGGGGGGTGGATGGGGGCTGTGATCCCTTGGGGTGCAGTTTGGGATGGGGATGGGGGCTGTGATCCCTTGGGGTGCAGTTTGGGATGGGGATGGGGGCTGTGGTCCCTTGGGGTGCAGTTTGGGATGGGGATGGGGGCTGTGGTCCCTTGGGATGGAGTTCAGGGCGACGGCAGTGCTGTGGGGATGGTGACTCCGCTCTCCTGGCATGGGGGTGCTGCTCCTGCCCGGGGGGCTGGCTGTGAGCGGGGTGGCCCCGCAGATGTCCCCGAGCTTCGGGCGCTGATCGGGGAGGTGGCGGCGGAGCAGCTGGAGCGCAGCGGCAGCGACGACCCCCGCGGGGTCTCGGCCGCGCTCCGCGTCTGCTTCACCCGCCTCATGAAGAGCGAGAAGAAGTTCTTCGTGGACCAGCTGAACATGCTGGTGAAGAGGATCTCCCAGGAAGGTGGGTGCTGGCTGTGACACCCCACGCCGGCTCGGGGGCTGTGTTCAGGGGGAGGCCCAGCCCCTTCCCCACGCTGTGTGTGCTCCTGCGCAGCGGCGGAAGGGAAGGACACGTCGGGGAGCAACGGGGAGCTGCTGCTGCGCCTGCACTCCCAGTACCCGGGGGACATCGGCTGCTTCACCATTTATTTCCTGAACCTGGTGAGGCTGGAGCCAGGCGAGGCCATGTTCCTGGGAGCCAACGAGCCCCACGCCTACCTGCACGGAGGTGAGAGCAGGGGGCTGTCCTAGCCCGGCACCCTGCAGGGCCGTGGGGGCAGAGGAGGGGCTGGCGTGGGCTGATGGCACTGCCCCGTCCCCGCAGACTGCGTGGAGATCATGGCGTGCTCAGACAACACGGTGCGTGCCGGGCTCACCCCCAAGTTCATCGATGTGCTCACCTTGTGTGAGATGCTCAACTACACACCAGCACCCAGCAGCTCCAAGATCCTCCCGGCAGCACAGAGCCAGCTCGACCCCCACGTCTACCTCTACGACCCACCCGTGCCAGACTTCACCATCATGAGGATAGAGGTGAGAGGTGACAGCTCTGTGCTGGGGACACGGGTGGGACACCCCAGCGCTGGCTGGAGCTCGCTCACCTTTGTGATCAGTGTCCTGGCAAGGAGGGAGGGATGATTGGGCACAATGGGTGCTGGTCTCTTTGTCCCTCCCCTGCTCCCTCTGCCTGGAGCTTGTTCACCTTCTCCAGCAGCTCTGGCTAGAGGGAGAAGCAGGAAGAGGTCTTGGGTGTCCTCAGCCAAGCCGAGGTCCCTGGCCTTGGGCTGCTGCAGGCACAGCCAAGGGGTGGGAACGGGGACAACCCCCTCCAGCTCTCCAGAGAGGAGGGAAGCTGAGGGAGACTCCAGCACAGCGACGTTTCCCTTGGCAGATCCCTGCCTCCATCAAGCTGTACCTCATCTCTGCCATGGACTCTGCCAGCATCTTGCTGGTGATCCAAGGGACAGCCGTGGGCACCTCCACGGCCGCAGCCTCCGAGATGTCCCTGCGCCGAGGCTCCGTGCTCTTCGTCTCGGCCAACGAGAGCATCTCCCTCCACCTGTCCTCACCCGATGGGATGCTGCTCTTCCGAGCCTGCTGCCTCCTCTGAGCAGGCCTGGGACACCTCCTCCACAACACTCCATGTTTGAGTAGATAGAAACTGGTGTGGGCAAAGTCTTCTCGCTTGAAAGTTCTCCCTCCAGCTATGAAATCCCCAAACCAGCAATGGTGTATAGAAGGAGCAGGTCCATGGATCGACTCCTTGGATGTGGTGCAGACCACAGGCTGCTCTCTGCTGCTCCTGGTGGGCTCTTCCCAAGCCTGGCTGATGGCAGCCAGTGTCCCCCTTCCCTGGATGTAAAAGGGGGCTGCCTGGGGGATGATGGAGCGGGAGAGCCTCTGCTGCTGTGAATAAAGAGGTGACTTTGTCCCTGGTGAAGGGCAGTGTGGTGGAGGGAGCAGGAGGAGGGACAGGGACAGAGAGGCTGGGAGCAGCTCCAGCATCCCCCCAGCAATGGCTGTGACCCACCCCCTTGCTCCTCAGGCACAGGAAAGGAGTAAAATGTGATGAGGGAACAAAGGAGTCCCCCTCACAGCACCAGCACCCCTTCTGAGTAATGAGATCCAGTTTATTGAGTGCTCCCTTTTACAAGTAAAATACAAAACCAAACAAACATGCCCCCCACCCCCCCAGTTCATGTCTCTTGACATGAAATATTTAAATAAGGTTTCTGTGTAAGAAGCTGATTGTCCTCTATGTCACAGAGCAGGACCATGGTTTAAGGCAGCGTTTATGGTTTGCAGCAGGGAGGCTCTCCAGCCCCCCAGATCCAAGCCCTGTGCAGAGCTGGGAAGGGGGGCCTGGGCTGTGCCTCACCTGCATCAAAGCAGCATTGAGGAGAATGGGAATAAGCCATTAGCTCCAACCCCAGAAACTCCCAAATCCTTCCCTTTATACCCCTGTGGAGGTGCCAGGCCCTGCCTGTCCTCCCTTCCCACCCCAGCCAAGTGCCAGGTCCCATGCAGGCCACCAAATTGTCACTGTGCCACCTCCCCCTGATATTGCTGAGTGTAAGGAGAAGTCTTTTGGAGTCACTTGGTCTCTGCCATGAGCAGCATCGTTGAGTCCTTGTGTGACCGTCCTGGCGTGGGACCCGGACACGCACCAGCCATCCCACGGGACAAAGAAAGTGCTGGATTGTCACCTGTTCTTGTGCAGCTACTGGATCACACAGGAGAGGTTTTCTCCGAAACAACAGGGGCAAGAAGAGGAGGCAGCAGGTTTTGGGGGGATGAGATCCAGGTCTTCATCATCGGGGACCTCGTCGAGGTGGTACCCGTCCTGCAGCAGCTGCCGGCTCAGGTCCTGGGTCACCTGCTGCAGGGGACAAAGCAGAGCTCTGCGGGATGGACACACACCCACACCCCCTGGGGTGGTGCTTCCAGCCCCCAGCCAGAGCCTCGAGGGGTCAGGGGGACGAGGGAGCCCCTGGGGCCCCCACAGTGTCAGAGTCAAAGCCCTGCACTTGCCTCAGCAGAGGAGTATCCCGAGGAACACCTGGATCCTGGCTCCCCGTCACTGAGGGGAAAAAGAAACAGAGCTGGCCAGGAAATGGGGTTTTTAGGATGCAGAAAAGGGGAATTTGGGGGGAAAATTAGCTGGCAGTGCAACCCAAAGGGGTATCTGAAATCTGGCCCAACAGGAGCGTTTCGCTGCCCTGAGGTGCCCAGTGCCATCAGGAATGCTCTACAAGTGACAAGGAAGATCACAACCCCCAAAAAGCCATCTGGGAGCACCCCCACCCTCAAAATCGTGGGATATTTACCCAAAACCCTGGGCTATTCACCTGTCTGAGTCAAGGGAGACCAGGTTTTCATCAGCTGTCTGGCAGAGCGCCGTGTAGCCCTTGTTGAACTTCACAGACCTGCCAGGAAACACAGCACAGATGTCTCATGTGCAAACACATCCCTGGAGCTGCCAGGCTGAGGAGCCAGGGCAGGAATCCCACTCCTTCCCACCCAGCTAAACCCCAGAATACCCAAATAAATGCATACCACCAAATCAACCCCAAAATAAAGAGAAAAGCAGTATATTTTATTATACTGGGTGTTCCTGGCCAAACAGAGCCAGCAGAATAAGGTCCCAAACTCTTATTTTTAATCCTCTGAGCGTCCCAGTCTCCCCCAGAAAAGTGACAAAGACATGTTGAAAACAGGAGGAGGGGATCAGACCTTTTAGGAGTTGGTTTCAGGGCAGTGGGTGCCCCCAGCAGCCCCTGCCTTCGCAGCGCTGCCTTTGCCAGCTCCCGCTGCCTCTCTGCAACCAAGCACAGGGACAGAGAGAAAAATCCCCAAGTGCTCCCAAAGGGCTGCTGCTTTTGGGGAATGGGTGGTGCAGGTGAGTGTGGGGGCAGTGCAGTGCTTTCCCAAAGGCATCTCTATGGGTTTTCAATGGGGTTTTATAAAGGTTTCATCCCACCAAGGAATAAAGGGGTTTTGGTAACCCCAGCTCTGGGAGAGAGGTGGGAATGACACCCAAAATCCCAGCAGAGTCCACCCAGCATCACTTACTCAGCTTGGCCTGAATGGAGGGAGGTTTGCTCATGATGTATGGACCTCTTTTCTCCACCACATCTGTCCCTTTGTTCAGCCTCTTCTTTTCAGCCCAAATCAGCTGAAAAAAGAATGGAGGAAGCATTTATCACCTCTGCACGGGGATGAAGAACAGCAGAGTCACCTCAGAGGATCCCATCCTTCCCGGGAGCTGAAGGTCAGCAGGGAAAGCTTTCCCCAGGGAGATCTGTCCCCGGGAACAGCTCCTCCTCCCCAGCCCAGGAGGAGGGAGAGGAAAAGGAATAAGCAGATCTGTCAGCAGATGAGAGGATTATTTGGGAATGGTGATGCTAATTAAAAGCACAGGTAGTCCCCACCAGTTCCTGTGCAAGCCTGGCTTTTCCCATACTTGGGAAAAGGTGGTGGGGGAGATTTCCTGAGAGGTTAATCAAGCACAACTGTAAGGATTGTATATTTTAATTTGGGGTTTGAGCCTTCCAAGCTTCTCCTTTTACCCAGTTATTGTCAAGGAGAACAAGTGCTCCCAAGGGCAAGGGGAGGCAGGGGAACCTCCACAAACACAAGAAGTAATGAAGAAAATAGAGGGAAAATCAGAGAGAGTTGGCACAGGAGAAATGTGGAATTAAAGGAACACGGCAGAGGAGTGGGGATGGTGATTGGAGAGCACAGCCAGGATTAGCCTCAGTGTCTTAAGCTGGAATTAGCAGGACAGGGCTTTATAGGGGGAATAACCAGGCAGGCAGTGCCCCCCCAGATCCCTGTGGTGTGCCATACCCCTTCCCAGGCAGCATAAACTGTGCTGATACACCTCTGTGTGTGTACAGATATTTATATTTATATTTATATTTATATTTATATTTATATTTATATTTATATTTATATTTATATTTATATTTATACACTGCATACAGTACTGTGCCTCCCTGTCTGCCACTCTGAAAGGTGAACTGTGCCACTGTATTGCTCCTATACTGCCCCACATACACCCCACACTGCCCCATGGACACACCCCAGCCCCACAACCCCTGTGCACACACCCCACACTGCCCTACAGACACCCCACACTGCCCTACACACACCCCAGCCCTATGCCCCCTGTTCATGTACCCCACACTGCCCCACGCTCTCCTCAGCCCCATAGCCTCAGGCAGATATCCCACAGAGCCCCATATCCCCATGCAAATATCCTATACAGCCCCCCAGCGCCATGCACACGCCCCATAGAGCCCTATACCTCCCATGCACATATCCCACACAGCCCCACGCACATATCCCACACAGCCCCATGCAGATACCCCACACAGCCCCATGCACATATCCCACACAGCCCCATGCACATACCCCACACAGCCCCATGCACATACCCCACACAGCCCCATGCACATATCCCACACAGCCCCATGCACATATCCCACACAGCCCCATGCACATACCCCACACAGCCCCATGCAGATACCCCACACAGCCCCATGCACATATCCCACACAGCCCTATACCCACAATGCAGATATCCCACACAGCCCCACGCACACACCCCACACTCAGCTCCCAGCCCCGCAGCCCCAGCACCCCGCACGTACCCCCGGGCCCCGCCGGCCGCCGGCTCCGCTGGCAGCGGCCCCGGGAGCGGCCCCGGGAGCGGGAGCGGGCCCCGGCCCGGCTCCGCCGCCGCCCGTCGCCATGGCCGCCCCGGCCCCGCCCCATGGCGCGCCCGCCAATGGCAGCGCGGGGCTGGCGGCGCTCAGCCAATGGGAGGCGGGGAAAGGGCGCGCCCCTCTGCCGCGCATGCGGGGTGGGACCGGACAGCGGGACGGGACCGGAGAGCGGGACGGGATGGGATCCATGGGACGGGATCCATGGGACGGGATCCATGGGACGGGATAGGAGAGCGGGATGGGATGGGATCCATGGGATGGGATCCATGGGACAGGATCCACGGGACGGGATCCATGGGACGGGATAGGAGAGCGGGATGGGATGGGATCCATGGGACGGGATGGGATCCATGGGATGGGATCCATGGGACGGGATCCATGGGACGGGATAGGAGAGCGGGACGGGACGGGATCCATGGGATGGGGTCCATGGGATGGGACGGGATAGGAGAGTGGGATGGGATGGGATCCATGGGATGGGATAGGAGAGCAGGACGGGATGGGATCCATGGGATGGGACGGGACGGGATCCACGGGACGGCATGGGATCCACGGGACGGGATCCATGGGATGGGATCCATGGGATGGGATCCACGGGACGGCACGGCACCGCGGAACGGGGCACCAGGACGGGACAGAGGGACTGGAGACAGGACCATGGACCAAACAGCGGGAGGGATGGGATGGGATACAACAGCAGGGCTCCCTGCCCTGCACAGCTCAAGCCCTGAGGCCACCATGCAGAAATAAATTCTTCTTTTCCCGGAAAATTCCACTCTTCTAGGAGGAAAATAACAGAATTAATAGTTCCCTTCTCCTCCCCCACCCACTTCTGTTGGTTTATTTTCTTCCCCAGACCGTTGCCTGGGCCAGAGCTGAGTGGAAAACAGGGACAATATCTATCCCAGAACACATCCCCTTCCTGATGGGGACACGACCCTTGCAAACAGGAGCCCCCAGCCCACATCTGAGGCTTTGGACATCATCCCAGGGAAATGCCTCCCCCCAAAGCTGTGCACACAGGAACCATGCTCTCCACACAGCTCCTTCTCTTCCCCTCCCAGAGCCTCGTGCTTGGGAAGGCTCTGGCACGGGCTTTGCAGAGTAAATAACAATTCAGAAGCTCCTGCGAGCACATTTATGGCTTGTTCCTTCTTTTTCCCTACAAAAGCAACAGGAAATAACCACACGAAGCACTGGTACCACATCAGTTAACCAGTTTTTCCTTTATTAGGCCCAACTCCATGGCACTTCCATTGTGACTCAATAAAGGAAGAAGTTATGCCAGGAAAGATTTAAAGTTTGTCTCTCCAAGTGACGGTGTACAATCTGGTAGCATCAGCAGAACGCGTGAGTGATCCACCTGGCACAGAAAATAACAGGGGAAAAATAAAAAAAAGCCATTGAAGAAGCAGCCTGGAATCTCCACAAAGTTTCCATGAGGTCCCAAATTATTTCCATGTCTTTTACCTTCAAAGCCTTGTTTAACCATGCTCAGCTCAAAAATGTAGGTACTGCATTCCCAGCACAGCTGATTCAGGACCCCTGGCACCAACACATTGTATCCCAGGGCAAGGAGGAGGAGAAGGACTTAAAATATCCAGAATCAAGCACTATTTGCAGCAGGCTGACACATAGTATCTCTATTCTAAGCATAATATTAAAAAAAGAATATGACACTGGTCATCACCTGAGGAAACTGAGTTAAGAGGCTTCACTTCCACGAGGATTTTTATTTAGGGCTTTATTTTAGTCTGGGATTAGGGCACCTTAGGTCTTGCCTATGCTGTCTTTGCCAGGGGGTTTGGTGTACAGGAGTCCCATGCCAAGGGTCTGGGAAGCAACATCAAACCTTACCAACAAGGTTTATGCTTTGTCCAGGCCCAGTTCCTCTGGAGTGGAGATTCCAAGTTCACTCAAAGTTGGTCTAAGTTCCTGGATAACGTAAGGATAGATTTCCTTGTGGGGTCCTGCCTTGTCCTGGAAAAAAATCCCAAAAAACAAAGAATGGAATTACTTCAAAACACTCATTTCCAAAGCATCCCACTTCATCCCTTGCTTGTGGCAGAGCTGAGCTCCTGGCTCTAGGGGTGAAATAAAAGTCCTGGCTTCTCCTGGCCAGGCAGGATTCAGGTTTCAGGTGCTGGTTTCAGGTGTTTCCCAAGAGAGTTTTCTGCGCTACTTCTCTCAGTCCCTCAAGAAGCCAGCAAGCTTCATGCTCATCATGGAGCCACTGATTGTGGCAGCAGGAAAGTGTGGTTTCCCTCTGCAGCAGGGAAAGCTGCCCTGCTGCCAGGCTGTGGCAATGGAGCAGGGCAGCTCCACCTGCCGGGGTCGCCACCTTTACAACTTCTAGGATGCGGACAGCGCTGGCGAAGTCGTTTAACCGTCGGCAGGCCCTCAGAGCCGCGTCGATGATCTTGGGCTCGGGGACCAGGTCGTAACCCACCAGTGTGTTGATGCCTGTGGAGACAAGGAAACACCACGGGGAACTTGGCACCAGCTCGTCATGACCTCAAAAGGAACCCCTTGCTGTCTACTCCCTTCCTCTCTGACAGAAAAAACCAGCAGGTGCTGCTGGAAGGATCCCTCTGGCTGCAATTATCTGCATATGAAATCACATTTTTAAGGCATAATTGGCCTTAAAAGATGAACTGTCCCACTGTATTGCTCCTACACTGCCCCACACACCTACCCCATACGCATACCCCAGCCCTATAACCCCACACTGCCCTACACACACCCCACACTGCCCTACACACACCCCACACTGCCCTACACACACCCCATCCCCATAACCCCTGTGCACACACCCCACACTGCCCCATGGACACACCCCAGCCCCATAACCCCTGTGCACACACCCCACACTGCCCCATGGACACACCCCACACTGCCCTACAGACACTCCCAGCCCCATAACCCCTGTGCCCACACCCCACACTGCCTCATGAACACACCCCAGCCCCACAACCCCTGTGCACACACCCCACACTGCCCTACACACACCCCCAGCCCTATACCACCCCAAAAAATGGAGCAAGTTTAATAAAACTTGGCAACTCCACAGCAAACAACAGGAGACAGCCAGACAAAAAATCTGCAGGGAGTTATGGCCAAGCCATTAGCCAAAGTGCAAAGAAAAATGAGCATAACAGAGCTCATACACACCACTCTCCCTCCCATCCAGGTGCTGGAATGATGGAATGGTTTGTGTTGGAAAGACCTCAGAGATCATCTAGTCCACCATTCTGTCATGGGCAGGGACACCTTCCACTGGACCAGGTTATTCCAAGCCCTGGCCTTGGACACTTCCAGGGATAGGGAGCCCACAAAACGCCAACTGAAGCTGCTATTTCTGGTCAGAAAACTTCTGTTTACTGCAGGTTATGCTTCCCTGCTCTCCAACTTACCTTTCCTGAGCTCCCAGGCATCAATATCTGGCTTGTTGAAATATGTCACCCAGCGAGCATCGAATTCTTCATCAGACTCTTGTGACCCGTGAGAGTAGCAGCGGGCAGGAAGCACAGCTGAGCGCAGGAAAAAAGGAACAAACTGAGCAAAAGGAAGATAGCACTGCTTTAGTCCTGACCAAGAGGATTGGAAATCCATAAAATATGGATTTCCCTTGTTACAGTCAGTGCTGGATGAGCCCTGGGTGGATGTAACTTATTAAATAGTGTGGTTTATGTTGTAGCAAAGTGTCTACTTCTTTCCTTATCAGACTTCCAAAGTGTTCCCAGAGCACTGGTCAGAGCAGGGGCAAGACACACAAAAAACAACTCTGGATACTAGCGCTTAAGAGGTTTTCTGGCATTCCTTTTTCTGTAAAATAGAGAATTCTCCTTCTTCCCACAGCCAAGTGAGACTGAGAAGCTTTAACATGCACATTCCTCACCAATTAAATTCCATGCAATTCCTACAGAAGGTCTCAAAAGCAAAGGGATGAGAGATATTCCTTCCAACAGAAGGGCTGGAGGAGGAAAAAAATGATCACTGTGTCTATCCAAGAGAAAACTCCTGGATCTCTAGGTTGCAATTGTATTAATATTTGATAACTAATCACAAAAAGCAGATTGTATGCTAATGCTCAAATTAGTCTGATAGGATCATTAATTAGTTTCTTCACTCAGCACTACCACAAATTGCTGGTCTTTTGGATGAACCTGTCTTTTTTTACCTCACAAAGGTTGGAACAGTTTTCTAAGGGAACTAAACTGAAGGACCACAAGCCTGGTGCTTCCTTTCCCCACTGCTAATCTCACTCCACTAATATTTGCAGAGAGGTCACACACCAGACACGACCTTGGAGCTCAAAGCTCTGCTTCACAGAAGTCAAATTTAGCTCCTGACTTTTTCTTTCTTAACCCAGCATGAACTACTCACACTGATCAACTACAGGGTTTTATTTAAAAACAAAACCAAAAAAACCAACACCACAAGCAGGTTATATTTTTGCTGATATACTTCTCTTTGGTTTCATTAATGGCAGCCTAATTAGCAGGCAATTTGCTTTTTTAACAAAATTTAACCCGGTCCAACATTTCAGCAGCAATACTGGTTTATGCAATGGAAGCATGAAAATAGCTTTATTTATTTTAGCTATGGAAAAGTAAACAACAGGCCAGGACAGAATTAAAATGCTCTTCCCTGTAGGGAAATTCCCCCTCCTTTCCCCAGCTCCAAAGCAGACCTTTGACCCTGTCTCTGCAACAAATCACCTGCAGAGCTGAGCTCAGAGCAAGAGCAGGGCTCTGGAAATGCTCCTGCTCCCAGAACACTGCTGAAAACCCTCCAGGTTTCAGCTGGCTGAAGGAGAATCCTTATTTTTCCCACCCAAAAAGAAAAAAATCCTACAGACAAACAGCAAATCTCAGCTGGAGAAAAGCCTCAATTGAAGCATTCAAATGCCATCTTTAAGTCAAAATCTGAAGTCTTTTCTCAACAAAGCCATTCCCTGGATCCAGGAGGCAAATACAGACCAGAAGAATTAAAGCTCTGGCTTTCCAGGGTGTGTTTCCCAACTGCTGCTGTGCATCTTCTCCACGTTGATGATTATATCTGTACCTGGAGAGTCCCTCTGCCCTGGGCTCCAGCAGGGTCCACCAAGGTCACTGTCACACACATGACGTGTGAGTGACAGCCAACCTATCCAGGCAGAGATTCCCAGCTCAAGGAAGAACCAAAGGGCAAGCACCTCCGCTTTAAAGTGAACCCAACAGGCACTAAGCCTAAAACCACCTAATATGACACAAAAAACATGTCAGAGCTTCTCTGTGAGGGCCGGAATTGGGCGGTTTCTCCGGTAACGAGCACAGAAGAAAAAACCACGTGAAGAAAAACATTAATTTACTGAAAACCTGAGAAGGAGGAGCCCAGGGATTACACAGGGGAGGTTCTGCAGCAACAGAACCCCCCTGCAAAGGGGTCGCAGCAGTGTTACGTGGGCTGTTTGAAACACAACATCTTGGCAAAGAAGAACACGGAGCCTACCAGAAACGAGGCCCAGGAGCAGCCGGGGTTCGGCAGCTCAAAGGAACAGCGAGCAAAGATTTTAGTGGATTTAAAATAACAAAGGACCAAGGGTGTTGAGCAGCATCTAAGAAATCCTGTGCTTATTATTTAACAAGACGCAGCGACAGGCTCCCTAAGGCAGTTGTTTAACGCAGCAGAGGCACGCACAAGTCTCCGAGCATTATTAGTGTCTGTTAATTAGGTATTAATTGCGATGCAGAAGTTAATTAGCTATTAATCGCGATGCACAGCCAGCGCATTCTCTGCAGCCTCCGTCTTCCAGCCCTGGCACCCTGGCCACCATCACAGCACGCTGCCTGCGGCTGGTCCTCCTACTCTTCCTATTAACTGGGGCGTTAGGATTACAAATAAAATTAATTGGGGTGTTAATTAGGAGAGGGAGGGCCGGCGCGGAGCTGCGGCGGACCCGGCGCTGCGGAGGTCACCGCCGCCCTCCCTCAATGTCACCTTGGCGGGGGCGCCGGGAAGGCGCGGCCGCCGCCGCGGCAGCCCGCGGGCNCACCGAGACGAGTGCGGCCGCTCACCTGCTGGGCCGGCGGGCCGGCGGACGGCGGCGCGGAGGCCGGAGACGGCGCAGCGGCGGAGGAGAGAGGCGCTGGCGGCCAGCATGGCGGCGGGCTGTGAAGGGGGGAGACAGCACCGGGAACCGGGGGCGCGCCGCTGGCTCCCGCACCGCACCGGGAGGGAGGAGGGACGGAGGTGAGGGCCGGGGGGGCCGCTGAGGCGGGTACGGCGGCGCGGCGGGGACGGAGCGGCAGCGTGAGAGGGCGGGAGGCCTCAGGGCGGGCTGGGGGCGCGGCGGGGCGGGGCCGCCGCCATCTTGGGGCGGGGCCGGCCGCCATTTTGTGCGTGAGGGGCGCGGCCGTGGCCGTGCTTGCGGTCGCCGAGCAGCATTTAGGGAGTGCTTGGGTTTATTTTTAAGGGATTCGGGCTCGTTTTTGAGAGATTCAGGCTCGTTTTTGAGGGGTTCGGGCTGCTGCGGCCCCCATTTAGCCGACCCCGCGCAGCCCCAGTGCAGCCTCCCCGTCCCTGTCAATGGACACCGGCCGCGCTCGGTCCCTGTGAGGGGAATGGGCTCAGCTGCCAGCTGCCCAGTTCTCTCGGTGTGTCCGTGTCCCCGCGCCGTGCGCTGCTGCCCTCAGCCACCATCGCACCGGCCCGGGCACGAAATCGCCCTAAAACTCGTCCCCGGGGCTGTGCCTCAGCAATGCCGCACAAAACCATCGTGATTATTCCACCTACCATGTCCCCCGATGTCATCATCCTGTTTACTTTTTTTTTTTTCCTTTTTTTCTTTTTTCTTTTTAACAGTTATTTTTTACTATTTTCTCATGCAGGAAGCCATCAGTCCACAGTCAGCAAAGCAAGCAAGGAGGGTAAAATCCCCAGTGCTGCCTCTGTGATTGGAAACTACCTGCCTATGAAATCCATTAAAAAGATCTTTCAAATTAATGAAATAAGGAGAAATAAGTGGTTTTTATTCTTACTTCCTTGCTCAGAGAAATGTTAGGTGGCAACAGTGGAGATGAAGGGCTGTTGGTGTTTAACTGTGTGGCTCTCACAGTCTTCAGGCTCTGATCAGGGTGTTTACAGAGTGATTCATTAATTACAAGTTTATTAATTAATTTTATTAGTGATTTTTAATGCATTTGGGGTAGGTGTCTGTACCTGCTGTTCGTGTGTGGGGTGAAGGGTTCATCTTGAATGGGGTCTGCACGGAAGAAAGGAAGTGGGAAGAGCTGGATGGGACAGAGCCCAAAGCTTTATCATCCCCAAATGCACCAAAAAATGATCACTAAAATGATCACTAAAATGATCATAAAAAACCATTGGAAATGAATGTTCGAGTGAAGGGAATCAATCTGCAGTAGGACAGATAAGCACAAGCCTCTGGCCCGAGGAGCAGCTGCCTGCTGAGGGAGATAACAAGGTCACTGCCTCACAAAACAGCCCCTGCTTCCTCCTCTTCCTCCTCCTCCTCTCCTTTCATTCCCGCTCCCAGCCAAGCAAGCCCTTGACAAAGAGAGAACGCTGACTGTCCCTGTAGAGCGGGAGTGAGGCAGGGAGATAAGGCAGCTGCAGCCAGAGAATCCCTCACACGTGGATTTTGGGAAGGGTTGGCTCCTTAATCCCAATTAATTCATCCTGCAGTGCTGCTGGGTGCTGGGCAGAGGGAACCAGGTGGAGCAGGGCTTGGCATCCCATAACCCATCCCCCAAATGTCCCCGTCCCCACTGGAACTGGGGCTTTGCCAGGTGCTGCTGTGCCAGCACAGCAGACCCCAAGCCCATTCTTCCAAGGGGCAGAGTTTGGCTGGGATCCCCTCGTTGTGAGCTGGCAGCAGCCTTCACTGTGCTGATCCGTGCCATGGCCAGCAGCCAGGACGGTCCCCCCGTTTTCCCATAGACATATCTCAAGTATTTCTAAAGAGCTTTTATTTTCCGGTCATTTCTCTTTACCCCCTGGAAGTAGCAGGGATTTTTCTCAGGGATTTTTCTCTGAAGCACCCTGCAGCCCAGGCACGACCCCAAAACCTCCTCATCCTGTGCTGGGCACTGCATCCACCCACAATAACCCCCTGCCCAACGCTTCCATTGCCCCCAGCTCCCCGCACCGTGATTTCCCCCCACTCCAGACCAGATTCCAGAGAATCCCATGCGAGTTGTTTTGTTTCCTTGTGCTGTCCCACAGGCAGGCAGCACAGTGCAGTGCTTGGCTCTGAGGGTGCAGGGAGGGACCACCCCCCATGCTTGTTTGGGTGGTTTTTTTGGGATTAAGCATGGCCTCACAGGATGCTGAGCCTGGTATTATTAACTCCAACAGCTCCTCAGCAGCGGGTTTCATAATGAAGGTTTTATTCCAACAAGCTTGGGGCAAACCCATCTCTCCTGATGGATGAGGCGTTGCAGTGGGGAGCGCTGGTGCTGGTCCGGGCACCCCTCGGCTGCTCTGGCTCCCTGGGAGTCGCTGCAGAATGTGGCTGCTGGTCACGGTGTCCCTGGGTAGCTGAATTACAGGTCACCAGCTCCCCCCCCACATGCTCATCTGCTTCAATCCATAACCAAGCCATGGTGGGTTTAACCCTTACACCAAACCTGGGGACCCCCATCCACAGGGGTCATGGAGCAGCAAGTGGGGACAGGTCAGGGGGAGCCTGCAGCCCACCAGTGACCCCGGAATGAGTGGATATTCCTGCCTCGATACCTGGCTGGTGGGGTGGGAGGCACTGGGGTCAGTGGTCCTGCTGGCCAGCGGTGGTCCCCGTGCCCCTGGGGCTGTCAGACACCTGTACCTGCATCTTCTTGGGCAGCAGCTCCTCGCAGGGAGGCGGCAGCGGCCGCTTCAGCCCCTTGGTGGAGGATCCCAACGTGTCTTCTCCCGCCTCATGCCGGGGCTCGGGGGGCTGGTACCCCGCCTGGTTGGGATCCAGGGGGTCCCGGGAGAGCAGGATGCAGATGGAGGGGACGTTCTTGTGGACAGTCAGGTTCTGTGCGGGACCGTTGGGCGGCGGGTCCTGGTTCTCCCAGACCTCCAGCACGGTTTTGTAGCGTACCTTGGTGACCTGGTGGAGCCCTCCCAGCTTGCGCTTCATGATCTCCACGCAGGTGATGGTCTTGGTGACCGCCCTGCCGCAGCCGCTGAACACGATCTGCCGCCTGCCCTTCAGCTCCATCTGGGCCATGGCGAAGTTCATCAGGTTCCTGATCTTGCTGCCCTCCTTCACCTTCATCTCCACCACGTCCGGGGGCAGGTCTGGGAAGGGCAACGGCATCTCCTCCTCCGAGGTCCTCACCTTTCGGAAGTTCTCCATCCTGGACTGGGCAAGGGGCTTGGCTCTCCCTCCTTCAGTAGCCATCCTTCACCTCTTCCCGGTGGATCCACACAGGCTCCTAGCCCCCTGCGACCATAGCAGGGCTGACCTCGCTGCCCTCCAGCCCAGCCCTGCGTGCTGCAACCACCAGCCCCTTCTCCTCGGCTCTCCGGGGGCTGGCAGTGGGCTTGGTAGCAGTGCCAGAGGCTGTCTCCTGTGGGAGACAGGGCTGCAGGATCCCCCGGGTGCTCCCAGTTGCTCCCAGCAGGGATAACAGCCGGCTCCAGCTCTCGGTGATGCTTGGGCTCCTCTGCTCCCACTGCAGCACTCGCTTCTGCTGCTCTTTGCTTCATTCTGGACTTCAGCAGCCCCCAGAGCTGTTCTGTGTAATTAGCAGATCCTCCCCCTCTCCCTCCCCTTCCTCCCCTCCTCCTCCTCCTCCTCCCCTGCTCAGCCGCCCATCCCAGCACCCAGCTCCTGCCTTCATCCCTGCCAGGCAAAGGGGAGGGCAGGGAGCCCAGGTCTCTGTCCCGGAACAGAGAAGGGAAGGAGGGGAGGGTGGAAGGCAGAGGGAGAAGCTCACTCTTGCCTTCATAATGTTCCCAAAGTCCTGCCCCCTTAAAGAGAACCTGGTCCCTTCTGTCGGCGCTCGCTCCTCTCAAGGACACCCTCTGCTAACCGCAAATGTCACCCTGCCTGCCTGCCCTGCAGCATTCCCAGAGGGATGCGGAATCCCAGCCACGCTGTGCCCAGGCATGGCACAAAGATGCAGCAGGTACTTCGGCAAGTACTTTGGAGTCTGAGCTCGACCCTTATGAGCCATGAGAGAAGCCACTGGAACCTGCAGCCAGGAGAAAGCCTTGGCAGATGGCATCGAGTGTGCCAGGGCTCTGCTCCCCCCAGCACCCCGCAGCCTCAGCCCCGGCTCTGCCAGCAGGAAAACCTCTCAATTCCCAAAGCTCCGGGGAGCAGATGCCGTGGCAGAGCTGGTTTCCACGGGCAATTTCTCTCCCTCTCCTCTGCTCCTCCTCCTCCCCCATCCCTCTCCCCGTTGCTCTCCCAGTCCCTGTCCCTCATTCACCTCCCCGTGTGGAGCTGCCCACTGTGGGCTCACCATTACATGTACTGGCAATAAATCCCAGAAAATCCCTGTTGCAGGCCAGGAGATGTCCCCTTCCTGCCCCCAATCCCTTCCCGGAGCAGAGGCGATGTCCCTGCCCCAGGCTGGCCCTCTGCCCGCCCCTGTCACCTGCCTGTCCCCTCCCGCCCTGCTGGCCGGGGGATCATTGCACAGTGGAAAGACATGTGAGTATTGACTTGCAGTCAAATCTTATCGGCCTCTGGAGGCCCCTGGATTGGTTTCACTGCTAGCAGGGCTTGGAAAAAAAAAAAAATAAAAAATCCCATGTCCGTGGAGGTGAAGGTAGGATGTGGCTGTCACCTCCTATTAGGGAGGATCCCACATCCCTGTGGCCCCCAAAGCAGCTTTCTGTGGATATCACTGCCTAAATGGGGTGGATTTTGGACACCTCCTGATCCAAACACTGGATTAGGGTATGGGTGGGTTCGTGGGATGGGATGGGATGGCATGGGATGGGATGGGATGGGATGGGATGGGATGGGATGGGATGGGATGGGATGGGATGGGATGGCATGGCATGGCATGGGATGGCATGGGATAGCATGGGATGGGATGGGATCCTCCATCCACAAGCAGCGTGCTGGAACACCCCTGTAGATGCAGAGCATTGTTTCCCAATCCATCTAACCCTCCCTGACCTCCATCCACACGCAGCGTACTGGAACACCCCTGTAGATGCAGAGCATTGTTTCCCAATCCATCTAACCCTCCCTGAGGCTCCTTGGGCACAGAGAGGGAAACTGAGGCAGGGCAGGCAACACTCCCAGGCTCACCCCCAGCACCAGATCCAGGCTTTGAGCATTGCCAAGTCCCTTCTGGTGCTCTGTAGTAGTGAGCAAACCTATTCCCTGTGCTCCCACCATGGATTCCTCACTGCTACGAGAAAAAACAATGACATTTCTCCATCTTTCTCTTTGACAACAATTCATGGAATCCGTGCAGAAGGCATTTGGCTCCTTCCTTGGGCAGGCAGGGATGAATTAAACCCCACAGGGAAATTCCTGCCTTCAAAATGTGCAAAACCCCTGAGGAAATAATGGGGAAGGATTTTAGTGACTGAGAAATCCCTCAGGATCATTACCCAGGTAAGCCTGGGAAGGTTACGTGGACACGGAGGGCTGACAGCTCCAGGGCTCTGGGCAAGGCACATGAATCCCTGGAGCTGCCTGAACCATCCATCCCTTCTTTCCTGGCCCAGAACCAGCTCCTGCCTCCCGTGGCCCATTTTCCATGGCATCATGGTGCTTCTGCACCATCATGATGGAAGCAGCAGCAGCTTCTCCCCCCCTCCATCTCTAATTGCTGCTTAATGAACTCTGCCTATCACAGCCTCCGAAATGGAGGCAAGAGAGGTGCAATCACAGAAAGGCTTCCAGAGGGTGCATTCCCCTCAAGGCCAAGGCTGTGCTGGGAGCAGCGAGGGCATTAATGACAGGGGCTTATTTTCCCTCTGCAGCGCTTAAAATGTAAATGAAAGTCATTATTAGCAACTCCGTTGCTAATTACCATCTGAAGCTATTCATTAGCCTGTCAGCTTATTTGTTGGAGGACAACAGAGTGGATGGGTTACTCCAAGCCAAGGAAAAGCTGAAATGAGCTCAGTGGGGTGGGAGAGGAAAAGCAGGGATGGGGGGACAAAGGCACAGACAGCTCCAGCCACGGGGGGTCAGGGAAACAAAAGCTGGAAAAGAGAATGGGGAGTCCTTTAAAATTGAGAAGAAGCAAATGGGAAAGGCAGGGGGGATGAAAAAATAAGAGTAAAGGAATTACACACTGAGTATTTTCTGTCTGTCCTTCTTGAGCAGCCACTCTGGTTACAGTGGGACCCACACTCAGGGAGTGGCTTCTGCTTCCCCTTTTCCATTACAGTTTCTCTCTGAGCATTCCAGTGCCAGAGGGTTTCCAAATCCCTGTGGGACCCTCTTGCCTGGTCCCAACCCCACAGGAGTGTGAGCTTGGAAGAGCAGCCAAGAGGAGAGCTGCTGGTGGCAAGAATGGAGAGGGCTGCTGGACACAGCACAGAGCCCAGACTAACCTGGAAAAGTGGGGAAAAAACCCCAGAAACATATTCCTAACAGAGATCAGGGCAGCTGGAGAGGAGCAGTAACCTGAGCCCCTGTCCTCCACCTGCCCTCTCCATATTTTCTTTCATGCAAGGTGGCCCTGCTTGGGAGCAGGACGGAAAGTGGGAGCATCCGATACAAGGAAAGTCTCGGTGCCCTCGCCCATCTCTGCGTCACATCGGCGCGGCTCAGGTCGCAGCCTCTCATCACATTGCACTGGGCAGCGGGCTGATGCCAGGGTGGATTGTAACCCTGGCCAAAAGGGGGGCAGAGGGACCTCCAGGATGCCACAGCTGCAGGGATCCCCTGTCCCCATCCCAGCCAGGGTCCTGGAGCTGCTGCTTCCCAGGAGCAGCGCCCTGAGGATGCAGCTCAGGGTGCAGGGGCTGTGCCAAGATGCCAGAGGAACCCTTGGAGCATCCTGGGGTGGCACCAGCTCTCTGCTGAGTTCTTATCCCTACCGTAAGCAGAAAATTACAGAGCTCAAGATAATCCTCGTTTTGAATAGCCCGACAGTAAAAGAAAAGGGAAAAATCCCTTTCATAAGACAAATCCCTTTGCAGAGCTCCAGCATGATAAGCAGAGGGATGCTGTAAGGACCCTGAGGGCATTAATAAACCTGAATGTTCCTCACCAACCCCACCTGGGATCCAACCCACCCTGCCCATGGCCCAGGAGCTCTTTTTAAGCTCAGCCCAGGGGTCTCAGTCCTAGTCTCAGCTATGTCAGAACTGGCCTCTGGCTCAGCTGCAGCTGGTCTGGACTCCACTGACAGACTGAGCCTAAACTGTACCTGTGGATTGATTTCCTTGTTTTTGAACCTGTTTGCTTGCTGGGAATTTGCTGCTTGATCCAGCCTTTTCTTTGGCCCTGCCCTTCCTCCCCAGCCTGCCCTGCTTGGGGAGTGTGGGATGGGCAGGGAGGCTCTTCCCCCTGTTATCCCTTGGCTCTGCAGGCACTCCCTGGATTGATTCCTCAATATCCCCGACTGGAAAGCCTGCAGGCAGACAGGAATGTGGTAGTGCTGAGGGCAAGGATCAGCTCGGTACATGACCATTCCCAAAGCCTCAGGGGAATGGGAAGCTGCTGAGGCAGCAGAGATGCAGGTGGGCAGGAAATTCAGGTGAGAAAAAGCTTGGAGAGAAAGAAATAAGGGACAAGAATCCAGCCCCAAATCTCCAGTGTGCTCAGTGCCCACAGGCAGAGCCAGAGCAGCTCTCCAAGGCGCTGAGCATCCCCAGGGCTTGGCAGGAGTGGGAATCCATGACCCCATCCCTGACCCCCCTTTCCTCCCCTGCTGCTGGGCAGGGCATGGAGCTGGATGTGCAGGGGTCCCTGCTCTCTGAGGGGAGCAGCTCAGGGTCCAAGACCCAGAAAGGGGTCAGAGTGGACAGCTGGGCTGCCTGCTATGGGGTCATCTGTGGCACGCTGGTTTTCCTGCTTCCCTCTACCTTACCATCTGTGGAGCAGGCATTTTCCCTGATTCTGCCAGGTTTCCTTCCTTGCATCCCCACAGCAACGCTGTTCCCCTGCCCAAGGCGTTTGGCCACCAGGGCTCACTGGTGTAAAGAGATTTTGCTGCTTCCTTGCCCAGCTGTTCTCATCTTCCCCTGGTGGGATGTTGTCCTTGCTGCCCCTCCATGACCCTCGAGGCTGCACCCCGGGAAGGGAGGATGATTTAGTTGTCAAATAAAGCAATTTTCACAACATTTCACGATATTCTCACAAGCACTAAGGCAGGAGGTCCAAGTGTGTTGAGAGCTTTGTAACAAGCTGGCTCCGAGCTAAAGCTCACAGTGAGATTAATTTGACCAAGATAGAAGGTGAGGGGAGTTGCCATTCCAATTAAACTGTGTCCTTGGCCCACGGATGAAGTAATGCACAGACACAGGTGGTAGAGCGGGATAGCCTGGGAAAGTGGTGATAGTTATACCAAAACCAGCACGTAGTTAGCTGATAGCTAGTTAACCAATGGTGAGCTGGGATTTTGCACTATGCATGAGCTAATTAAAGGGTGTATAATAATCGGTGATTCGGGAATAAAGACGAGACTTGTCAATCATCATATGGTGAGCAAGTCTTCCTTCTCCATCACAAGTGGTGTGCACAGAACTCTGCGTGCTGACACAGAGAACAAGGGACACAGCCTATGGAGCTCTCATCCTGATTTGGGATCTATATCCCTTTTAGGAGTTTTGAACCCTGTCTGTGAATCAGTCCAGTCCCTTCCCCTGCCCTCCACATCCCAACCTTGGCATCACTGGCAAAAGTAATTAACATGTCCTCTGCCCTTCATGCAAGCAATTAATTACTGAGGAAGCACATCAAGATATGGAGTACCCCAAACTCGGCCCTGCTGGTGGGGACTTGCTGGTTTCCCATTGCCTCCTGAATAAAGTGTGCCCTGCCAGGGGCTGTCCCCAAGACCCCCTGCCCTTCTGAGGGTGGTCTTCTACGCACATAGTGCTTGCCATGCCCTGGGTAGGGGTAACTGCACCCCTGCCCCACAGAATCCCCATCTCTATAAAGCCCCCCAAGGCACAGAGACCACTCCCAGCCCTGTAGAGGCCCCATTCCTGTAAAGCCCCCCAAGATCCATAGAGCACTCCCAGCTCCATGGAGCCGGCAGCCCTATAGAGCCCCCCAAGCCCCATAGAGCATTTCCAGCCCCATGGAACCCCCCAAACTCCATAGAGCACTCCCAGTCCTATAGAGCCCCCATTCCTGTAAAGCCCCCCAAGCCCCATAGAGCACTCCCTACCTCATGGAGTACCCAGCCCTATAGAGCTCCCAAGGTCCATAGAGCACTCCCAG